CCTGCTGAAGTTCTTCCTTCTTTTACCTAAATCTGATGTAATCTGCCAATTTTGCAAATCCATGTTCTTTCCAGATTACTGAGTTATTTTAAACAAGACTAGATTTACCCCAGACCATCACATACCATTGCTTTTTCAGTTGAAGTCAAATTAAAATCTGCTGAGACTGGAAACAACTGGGGGGGCAGGGTTCCCTTACCTTACTTTTCCAATTACAGGCTGAAAGGACAGTGATATTCAGATTAATGCTCTCTCGGTCTGGTTTTCACAGTCCTGATGATGCATCAGCAATAAAAGTGTATTTCTGTATCTGTTATCAGTTGAGTTCAATAGGATGACGTGAAGAAGTAAGGATTGCATGCATGAGCAAGCATTTTCAGGAATGGGTCTTAAGTATGTGAATGAGCAACAAGTAGTCTGCTGGCTAATACTTAAAATAGAAATAAGCTTTTAACCTAGTAAAGAGTGTGTTTTCTAGTGTGCAATGGAAACCTCTCCACTGACCTTAGGAAAGGTATTCTCAGCGTACACATCTTAAAACAGGCTTTGACTCAAGTATATCAATTGACGTAAAAGACTGCTATGATGTCTCTGAGTAATGTGCTTTTTTAATGAAAGAAAAATATGGTTTTCTGTTTGTTTTAAATAAAAACAAAACCTCAACGTTAGGAAAATATAAGATGCATAATGTGATGGGAAAAGTAAAGAAAATTAAAATTGAGTCTATCTCTATAAAAACAGTTTGCAGAATTTTTCTATATACAGTCAGTTGAGTGTGCCTCCGTGAGAGAATTTGAGGGCATTTCTTTCTGAGTTTTCTGGATGTTTTCAATTTGGGTTATAGCCACACGAATAACAAATAAGTTGGTGTCTAATTTCCAGTGTTTCCTGCTTCTTTGCAAACATACTTGTTTTCAATCCACAGAAAACATCTTAAAAACATGCTGTAAGGCATTTTGCCATCATTTTTTTATTTTTTAAACCTAGTTGCAGTTTGTGGACAGATTTTATTGACTCGTTTTATAGGCCACCCTTCCATCTAAGTCAGCAGTGCTCAAATTTTCGGTCCTGTGGACCAGATGAGTGGGGAGGGACCACTCTGCAGCCTGGATCGGCCCTGGGATGCCCGACACCACCCTGTCCCTGCCCTGATCGCTGAGATTTGTCCCCAGGGGCCTACCCCTACCCAACCGTGCCCCAGCACACTGGGATTGAGTCCCAGGGGCCTGGTGTTGCCCCGTCTTAGCCTTCCATAACGGGTTTGGGGCCTGGAGCTGCACCCTCTTAGTCCCTTGTGTGCTGGGATGGGACCCTGGGCCTGGTGCTACCCCACCCAGCCCTGCATGCTGGAATTGGGTGCTAGATCCAGTGCAGAGCCCAGGGCTCCCCATGGGTCCAGGAATTTGGCAGTGGTGCCACTCCTCTCCCACCACCAAATTTCCAGGCGTACGGGGAGCCCCCCGGGATGGATGACACAGGGCCAGATTTGGCCCACAAGCTGGGGGTTCAGTGCCCCTGGTATAAGTCATCTTTTAATAACTACAAAAAAATGTAACGGGGATAACTGAGTACACACAGTATCAGATTGGAAGATCCAAAAATCATACAATATTACACAGTGTAACTGGCTTAATAATTTTATTAGAAAATATATTTGGTTTAATGATTGGTGGTTTTTATTAGGTTTCTTTTTATAGACAGGTTTCAACAGTAATAGCAGTCCTTGAAGGACACTTACTTACATTCGAGTTCTGTTTGAATTTGTTTGTGTAGATGGCAGAAAAGCTGTACGCTGACAGGCCTCAGTTGAATGTGGAGGCTGAAGAGCCGGATGATACAGTGGATGCAAGGCCAGACAGAAGTGAGAGATTGTTCATCTTTGGAAAGTAAGCAATGTTTTTCTCAAGTCCATTCAATTGGCAAGCCTGCTTGAAGTGGACTGTGTCCAGTTCTTTTGTGCTTTGGAGGGCATCAAGTGTTGCTGGAGGCAAACATACTAAATCTAGTGAAAAAACCTGATAAAAAGTCTGGAAAGATATGTCCAAAAGTGCTGCCTTTAACTAGACATACTCATCCTCTGCACCCCAGCAAAGCATTTTTCTATCTAGACAGTAATTGATTATACTGCAAGGAGAAATGCAGGCTGTGCTGCATGATGTTCTTCCCCTTCACTGCCTTGATTCAAAGTGAAAATGAGAAGGAATCCTAGTTGGCTAAATTTCAGATTTTATTAATAATAGCACTCCTAAGGCTTTTTTGAAAGTCAGAAGTTACCCAAGTACATTGAACTTCAGCCTGGTTCTCGCTTCTCACATGGCTCTTAAATGGGGGTAGCAACTGGGAACTGAATGCAGTGTTTTCACTGCACTGAGTTCGGATATTCTGCATCATGAGAATCCCCAACGGGCTACTTAGAACATCCTACACCCATCTCCCTCCAAAAAGTTTCACCAGGGCCTGTTACCCAAAAACTTAATCTTCTTGAGAGCTGCAGAATCATTTTTACCTTAATTTTAAGGAGTGCAATCCCCACTGAAGCATCATTTTACTTACCATAACTTCATAGGAAGTAGGAAGTATCGTCTGTGTTATGTTAGACCTGTTCTTTTGGGAAAATAGCCATCTGGAATTGCTAATGGCCCTTAAAGTGAGAGAAAGACTATTTTGTGCTGAGTGTTTCTTGGTGTTAGTGTTTTTCTTAAAAAGGGCTTTTACAATTTATGTCTTCTGCACTGTACAACCTTGAAGTGAATGGCCTAGCCCTGACCAAGCGAAGGGAAGGCGTTTGGCTTTTTATTTACATTGTAATTATGAAGAATGGGTTAATGCACAGAGTCTATAAGGTTTAAAACCCTTACCTAGGAGTCAGAAGAGCTAAGTATTCTTGCAGCAGAGTTGCAGAGTTGACGTTCAGCAAGTAGCTTGAAACTTTTCCTGCTGCTTTTCTTAAAGAAGTGTTTTATGAGGCTTAATTAATGGAAAGCAATGGAAAGCTGTTGTGGAGGGTGTCATAGAAATGTCAGGTATTCCCATCGGTGCACTTCTAAAAAAATGTAAATATTCCTGTTTAAGATTATACCCACAACCTGCAGTGCTAGCAGATACAAGCAGAGGATGTGACATTCTGCCTCCAAAACCTGAGCAGCAGTTTTTAAAGACATATTTTGAAATTAATGCAACTTGTGTTTAAAAAGCAAAATTGTTCCTCTCTATGGGGAAATAGTCTAGTTCCATTATTCTGCTACTTGCAGTTTATCACTTTTAGTGAAAGACAAGAATCAATGTCTTTATGTGCTGAGAAATGCTTCAAGCAGCGTAACTGCCCAGTGTGCCAGGCATTTGTATTTTGGGAACGTCTGGGGAAACATTACCTTACCCAGGGAGCAGGGCTGTGCAGCTGAGAGCTCCTGAGATGCGTGCAGCCCACGACGGGGTAAACTGTGACCTGGAGGGCTTATCAGTGGTGTGCCGCCTCTTCTCCCCCCCAATCTCGCCCCATACTTAATGCCCGCCACCAGATTTGGGGGCATCTGTTGGCAACTAAAATCAGAGGCGTGGTAAAAGTGACGGGTGCAAATGAGGATGGTGGTGGTCACCCCTTGGATTTTGAAGCCCCTCCAGCAACTAGTCCCTTGCTCCTGCCTCATTTGTAGGGTGAGAGTGAGCCACTAGATTGGCAGCATGGGCAGATTTGCTCTCTCCTTCCTGTTTAGGGAATTTGACTCTGTAATTTTCTCTCTTTAAAGAGCTTCTAGTTCCAACCTGATAGTTCCAGGAAACGAAATGTTTTTTAAATATTACCCGATCTTTCTGTTTGTTTGTTTGCCACTAGATGGCAGACGACCCTCATTTTTTACCGCGCTAAAAGGAGCAGAACATGCAGCAAAATTGATGCCGTTTTTATTTTTCTGAGCAGAAACAGGCCAGGGTGATCATAACAAGTATGAAAGGCATTTTGGAAGGAAAAGAGGGCTGCTAATTTGAAAAAAAAAAACAAGTGCTCACTTTTCACGTAAAGTGAACAGCATATCTTCTTTGTTGTTTGCTTCCTGTGATCCTGTCGTGCTGTTCACACCTGGATCGCTTTCAAAGAAATCCATTTCTCTAAAGGATGCTGTAATAACCTCCCTTTGTGCTTTTGAGCATCACTTGTCTTTTCAGAAATGTGGCCTGGCTTACTACTTCGGGTATTTTAAACTACGCGTTTTCTCTGAGCGTTCCTTCCTATAAACAACACGATTATCCATCACTTCATTCAGTTGTAGGTAGTAGACAAAGTTGTGAGCCACCATGATTTTTACCCTGCAAAGGCCAGAATGAAAAAGTTAGAAGTCTGATCTCCTGGAAGTCAATGGAGCTGGGGTTTTTACCCGTGAAATAGTTTTTAAAAACTACCAAATGTTCCTAGAGTTCAGCAAAATAGAGTTTTCTCTCTTAACAGATCTGGTGGTATTTCTTGTGCACCCAGTGAAGTGAAGCATGATTCAGTAGCAGACAGGTAAGAGCTGTCAGGCTTTGGAGGCCAATTTCACATCATTTCACTCTATAAAACTGTTCTTGCCCTCTGATTGATTGCTTTTACACTTTCCCTATGCCTCTTCTGTCTGTCTTATACTCTGGATTCCACTTCTCGGTTGGAAGCTTTATACAGCATTTAAATAAGTATATGTGCAAGGGCTTTTACAAGCCAAGAGCAAGTGAAGCTGAAAACCTAACGCTGTACACGTCAGTACTTTTAATTCAGTGCCTTTAGTTCAGAAAACTTAAATGAGTGAAGTGTCACAAAGCCCTGGTGGGCCAGGTAAGGGATATATAGAGAGTGGGTTTTTTTCCTTTGCTGAAGTGAAGCCACTTTGAGATTGAATACAGCATCAGTTTAACATGATGCAGTAAGCCTAAATGTATTTTAGGAGCATAAGATAAGAGGGGTACAATGCCTACCTGAAAGCAATGGGAAATTTTTGGAGTCAGTTTATAGCTGTCTCTGAGTTGACATTTGACCAGAACAGTAGGTTAAACAGCCTTCCTTTTGCATAGAAAAGTACCTTGATTAGTGTGCTGGCCCTTTGATTATATAATGACTTGGGAAGTGCTGGCAGTCAAATTTCCACCACCACTTCCCATGGCAGATAGGTATTCCTTTAACATTTCCCATCTAAGTCTCGACCTGGCCTAGGTTGTGAAATCATATCAGATTACAGGTAATAGAAGTACACCGTATCTATAGATACTTCTGTCATTAATAAGGAACGAAAATATAAAAGTATAATACCATGCACTTTGCATTTTAATTAATTTGAGAAGTCTCATTTTCATTTAATTTGAAAGTTTCTCTGTCAGAAATGTCAGTGGGTGTCTTGTTCTCTTTGTTAATGGTTATGACATTCCCATTTACATAAAATTAGCTTTGAAAGTTTTGCAAACTGGAATACAGATAGATGTATTTTTTCATAGTTCAGGTTTTGCACTAGGTGATAGAGCATCAGGTTTTGGTGGCCATGGACTGAAATGAAATATGAAGTAATCTAATGTAACTGTACAGCCTGTTTCAATGTATCAGCACAACAAAAATCAGATCCTTTGTTAATATATGATTATTCTGCTGAGGGTCTGCCTCAAAATGTCATTACAAAATCCTTTGCTTTTTTGAGCGTGCGTGAGCAGAGGTGATGGGGGCGGGGGAGTTCAGTGCACTTGCATGAAAACGGAGTCGTGTAACTTGTACCGGAGAGGGAGGAATAAGCTGGTAGACCCTCTTGTTCACTGGGACTTGAATCATGTTTTAGATTAATAACCAGTTTTGACACCAACATCATAGATGCAGGAGGATTGGGAAATTGCCTTTGTGTCAGTCTTACTCTTTTGTTGTTCTTTCATCCTCCTGGGAATTATTTTCCACCCACCTTTGATTATCTTTTATCTCTTTCACAACAAGATGCTTCACAGGTGGGGTGTGGAGATGATTTTTTTTGTTCGTCCTTTCAGATCCATGTACATTTTTAAAGATTGCTCACTCTGTATTGTTCGTGCCATTTAAATGTTGAATTTTTAAAAGGTTATGGCAATTCCTGTGTGGGCAACAGTATACACATTTCGGAGGATTTGTTATAACGTAGTACACCAGATCTTTCCTATTCTGATTAGTCCAATTAGTCTTTTAGAGTGTTTTCATGAGACTGGAACTGTACCACTAGAGAGTGCCTCTAGCCAGGCTGAGGCGAGCATAACAATTCATCACGTCTCATCCAGGACCTGTTGTTCCCTTATAGTATGTACAGTAAATGCTCGGTTCTCTTGAAACTTTACCCTTAGCATAACAGTTTCCTTAAGTCTGAGCCAATATTTCATTCCTGCTTTCTGGCACTTCCCCAGGTGATACATACAGTAAATGCTCAGATAGCTTAGATTTATATCTTTGGTAATCAAAGCAACAGGTCAAGTATCAGGTGAATTACTGTAGTTACTAAAGAATCTGTCTCCGCACGACAGCCAGAATTAACACAGAGATTGAGAGAAAGCTAAGCTGTCCTACCCGTATCGTTTATTATTTTTAGCATTTCTAAATAAGCAGCCAACAAGGAAGTGGAGAAATGTAAGCAAAAGCAATAATGAATCAGGACTACGTAAGAGTGCATACATGAAAAATAACTGAGAATTAAGAGTGCTACAAGATTTTTTTAAATTGCATATGGTAATGTAAGGGTTTTTTTAAATGTTCTTTGTTATACCAAGGCAGGGGCAAAGGCAAAAGAGAGGGTAGCAGTGTGTATTCAAAGTTGTGCTGTTTTCCACTCTCTCAAGGACGGCTTTGCTACCCTCCTACACTGGGCAGTGCTACAGTCAGAGTGATGAGTGTCTGTGTTTTCTGCCTGTCAGCAAAGGTGGATCAGGCCTGCATGACCTCAGCAGCTTGCTAGGCCACAGCCAGGAAGGTTTGAATAGCCCCATAGAAAAGTCCAGCGTGACCCACTGCTGACACAGGCAAATCTTTGGGCCTGAACGCAGAGCATCCTGGTTCTCTCTCCGATACAGCTCTGAGCATGGTGGGTTCCTAGCATTACTAAAGAAGATCGCACTTGTTCTTGCACACAAGGTGCAATTCTTTTCCGATGCAGAGTGGAGTGCCACTTGAAGATGAGCCAAGGTACTGTAAAGAGCTGTATCTCTCCCTCATCTGTCTTGCTTCCTTTTTGGGAATGTCACGAATGAATACCCTAAAAGAATTCAGCTTTGTTCTTCCAACCAGCTGTTGCTCAGCTGGAATACTGCAATTGTGAAATCTGCCCTGGAAAATGTGTATTTGTTTTGCTCTGCTTTGTTTTGTCATCTGCCGAAGTAGGAATGCTCCTTTTCATTCTGTGATGGTTGAAAAGAGGGGCTTGGTGTTGGTGTTATATAGCATAATTAGGAATTATCTATATATGTAATGCTGCCTAAGAACTAATTCAGCAAGACCTCTGTTTCCAGAACGCCTATGAGAAGTACACGAATATACAGAATTGAGCTATAAGGTGGAAAACCCTTCCAGATGGGGACTTGTATTTTTTAATATGTAAAGCATTTAGTGACTTTTGAGTGCTATATAAATACCAAATAGCACAGAAAAGATACAAATGGCACGCAACCGACTGTCAGTGCAGCAAATTAAGCTTCTGTTTATAGCAGGAGTGTAAATATAGGGTTAACGGTTAATTCATTTAATGATGAATGTGACACCACTGTGTTATCCTGTAAGAACGTGAATAGAGATTTGCAGCAGACAACATGCTGTGAGCCCAAAAGAATAGGAAACTACTGCCTGCTTTTTTTAAAACTATTGCAAAATGTGGACACAATACTTGGACATAATAGACTGTGTCTGACAACATTTGTACAGTATGTAGCGGAGTGAGCCCCACTCAGCTTCCTATAGTTATCCATATATAGTGACTAAAATTGCAGACACTGAATTAACTCTGAATAACATATGAGCTGGAGTGACAGCCTTCATGTGGTTCTAGAAGGATGAGAATAAGATAGATGGCTGTTTGTGTAGATGTACTAAACTGCAAATCCAGGGGTCCATAGAGTATGGAAAATATGCCAAAAGCTGGGTTGTCCCTTCCATCCCACAGACCCCATTGATTTCCTGCAGGGCAGGAATCCCCCCTTGCAGAGCAGCTTGCAAGATCAGGGTAAATCCATTTCTAGTAACAGACTTTCTCACGCACCCTACCCACTACATTCACGTTTCTCCACTTAGCCCACCTTGGCATCCTTCTGAACCCTGTTATTTTTCAAAACTATTTGGAGAATAGAGAGTGAGTTCTGAATGCCAGCAAGCAACTCTGCCTCTACTGAACCAAGCGGAGAAAGCAGTTGCACTTGAATTTCCCAATTGCCAATTCTCCTTTTTCCTTTCTAACACCAGAATGGAAAGAGCTTTTAGCAAAACTCTCTCTCTAACTTTAGCGGCTGCTCCAGTACCATATAAGGAGACGGGCCATTTCCAAGATCCAAAATATTGAGGGTTTCAGGAGGTTGAGAAAATGGCGAGTTCATATTTATACAGAAACAAGTGGTATGTCAATCCAAATCACAGAACCCGTGCAAAATGCACTCTCTGACAGGAACGCCGCTAAGCAGCGGCGTTCAGCGCCTCGTTTTTAGGCAATCGTCAGGTAAAGCTCCATCTAGAATAGATTGAACTAAAGCAAGATGACAGGAACTGGGAACCCCCAAATCCGAAAGAAATAGCTTTAGGGATGAAAAAGGAGAGTGTGTAAATAGCAAAAGTAGAGGTACCACATTTTGGAGCCAATTGCTTTAGAGAATAAGTGTGTTTTTAAAAACGGATTAAAATAGATTTCTGCAATGGAGGAGCAGGGAGTGCACAAACATTTTTATTTTTGCTCTCAAGCAAATCCCGGGACGTCATTCTCCCCCTGTACTCGGCCTTAGTGAGGCCGCAGCTGGAGTACTGTGTCCAGTTTTGGGCTCCACAATTCAAAAAGGATGTGGAGAAGCTTGCGAGAGTCCAGAGAAGAGCCACGCGCATGATCAGAGGTCAGGGAAGCAGACCCTATGATGACAGGCTGAGAGCCCTGGGGCTCTTTAGCCTGAAAAAGCGCAGGCTCAGGGGTGATCTGATGGCCACCTACAAGTTTATCAGGGGTGACCACCAGCATCTGGGGGAACGTTTGTTCACCAGAGCGCCCCAAGGGATGACGAGGTCGAATGGTCACAAACTACTTCAAGATCGTTTCAGGCTGGACATAAGGAAGAACTTCTTTACTGTCCGAGCCCCCAAGGTCTGGAACAGCCTGCCACCGGAGGTGGTTCAAGCGCCTTCATTGAACACCTTCAAGATGAAACTGGATGCTTATCTTGCTGGGATCTTATGACCCCAGCTGACTTCCTGCCCTTTGGGCGGGGGGCTGGACTCTATGATCTTCCGAGGTCCCTTCCAGCCCTAATGTCTATGAAATCTATGAAACCTCAGTTTTAGGAGTTTGCATT